ATGAGAACATACCTGCTCCATTGGTGAGGTACATTTAAATTGGGGTCTTCACGAGTCCATCTGCTCATTTGGGTGGAATTCATCAGTCTAGTCCTGTGTAATAACAATGAAGATTGTTTCTAACAAAACATTAGACTGTTACTTTTTTCCCTGCACAATATTTATGTATGAATTCTCACATGAAGGCCAATGAGCAGGAAAAAGTATAAACATGAATGTTAAGATGAGTGGAAATCTGGTTTACTGTGGGAGGCCTAATCAATAAGCCTTTATGTCAGCATCACAATAAATTTACCTCTCTAGCATTTGCAGGAGAAAAGATGCTTAAGCATATTTCAATGCAAAATTTGGAAATAGACAAAATTGGAAAGGGTGGAATCACTCAGGAAGGCAAGACAATTATAAAGAACCATTTTGAAGACTTTGAAACAGAAAGATGTGACCGTTCTGATAGTCTTGACCTCAGGCCACTGTTGATTTCTACATGGAAAGTCCTGAGAGGCTGTTTCCATAATGAATGGTTTTGTGTATATTAAGGGTATTCTGCATGATGTTATGGGAGGCATACAAGCACTACTAAGACTAGTGTAGTGAAACCAATAGACATACCAGTCTCCTCACATTCTTACTGACTCATTCATTCTTTAAATCATTTAAAGTATTTTAAATGTTAAAAAGATCTATTAGTAGATGCTTGCAGTAGACACTGATTACCTTCTACTTGGGGGAATTGGTACATGTGCATAACATTCTTAATTATTTTTACATTTGCCAGCATGGTATCATATATGTCTGATGTCCATTTTACTTATGTGGCACAAATTTTCTTTGCTAATATTTTGAATACATCAGTTTTATGTGGAAATTATACAGGGCATTTAAAACCTTGGAAAATAGAGTGAATACTTAGAAGATGGGCTCCTTCCTAGTACTTAGGATGATAGTTATTTTTAACTTTTGTTTCGATTTTATAGAAAAAAGATAAAACATTTCATAACAAAACAATAGGAGAATAACAATAGTTAATACATCCATCACATGTTGTTACCTTTAAGATAGTTGCTCTGGGTACAAGATATGGGCATAAAAATATCTCCAATTGATATTAGTACAAACTTTCCTTTTTAATGAACTAAGAGACACGAATAGTACAACTCACTTGCACTTTCCCTTTTTCCTTACTATCCTTTCCCCTTTCTCCCATCTAGTTCCTTTTCCTTTTTTTTTTTTTTTCTTTTGTCTTTTTGAGACAGGGTCTCTCTATGTACTTCAGGCTGGCCATGAGCGCACTTTGTAGCCCAAGAAGGCTTCAAACTCACAATGATCCTCCTGCTTCAGCCTCCGGAGTGCTGGAATTATAGGTGTGTGCCACAATGCCTGTGTTCTTTCTCCTTTTGAACAATTCTTTCCATTTTGCTATATCTATTGTACATTTTAGAATTTATTTACTCTTTTGGTTTCTCACACCAATGAGACAATACAATGTTTACACATGTGACTTTGATTTATTTTACTTGTGATTATGGTCAGCCATAAAGAAGGATAAACTTGAGGCTTTTATAGGTAAATGGATTCAACTTGATATTTGTTTTATTTCATTTGAAATAATTATAAAAATAAATAGTTTCCTTGTTGGAGGTAACTTCAAAACTTGTGTATAATATCCAAAATTTTTGACATAAGAAAATCTGTTTTTAAAAAAGAAAGTCTGTTTTGCAATTTATTTCAGTTACACATTAATTTCAGTTATATTTCTATTAGTGTATTTTTAAAATAATTATTATTCCTCGTGTAATTTTACCCTTTATAATGATATAAAGGGATATTGTTAAACAGGAATAGAAGCATTTTGTAATAGCAGTACAACAATCATTTATACTGTTAAATTTTATTTTATTAGTACATGATTGAAGTACTTGCATTTTATAATCATCTTGGGGAATTGGATATGTATATAATAGAGCTTATTTCTTTTACATAATCCCATTCTCTATCCCTGTCTTTCTCTCTCATTTCCCTTCCTTCCTGATGTTATTAATTTTAGCTGTTTGTAGCATATAATGTCCACATCCATTCAGTTCATTAGGACTTTATACCTGGCACATCTTCATTCTACCTATTTCCCTATCCCCTACCTCGCAACCCTCACCTCTCACCCTTGGGACACTGGAGCCCTTAGCATCTGCAAGAGATCCTTCCCGTTATCTCCTTCTGTCCTTCCTTATTTTTCTCTTAGTTTGTACTTTGACTTACTCTGATGAGACTCCATATGACATTTCTGTTTATTCATCTGATTTATTTCACTCAATATTATATATACTAGGTACCTCTATTTGCTTATAAATGTCTCAGGTTTGTCCTTTATGGAGAGTAGTATTATGTATTACAGTTATTTATGTAAATATCACAGTTTCTTTACCAAATCATCTGTTAATTGGTTAAACAGGCTGTTTCCTCATTTAGCTATTTGAGTTAGCTATTATGAACTGTGCTGCCATAAACACTGTGGAGGTATTATAGAGTATGATGTCTTAAGTTGTTTGAGGGAGAAATTTAGAATGTTGATAGCTGGATATTATGGAATTTATTATATTATTTCTTTGAAAAATCTCCATACTGATTTTTAAGGGTTTTACTAGTTTACATTTCCACCGACATTATAGGAACATTCCTTTTTCACAGCAGCCACACCAGAATTTGCAATTTTTGATTTCTTACTCATTGCCACTTTTGTGGAATAAGATGAAATCTCAGCATTGTTCCCATTTGCATCTCCCTTATTGTCAGAGATGTTGATAATTTCTTCATATATTTGTTCCCCAGTTGTATTTCTTTCTCTGTGAAGTTGCCTGTTCTTTATACTTGCCCATTTTTGATTGGGTCTTTAATTTTAGGTGGTCTAACTTTTTTAGTGCTTTATATATACTAGATATTATTCTAGATATATCTTTTTAAACTAGATGAGGTTTTTGATGCAACTAACTGTTGCATTCTGATTTTTTTTTATTTTAAGGATAAAAGGAGGGAAACATTAACAGACATACAACATTTTACAACATATCACAAGCACAATACAGACAATACAGAGTTACAAACAAAGTGGTAGGGAATTAACAATGGTGGTTGTATTACATATTGATATCTTCAAAGTGGCTTCTCATGAAAACAGATATAGACATGCAATACTGGTCAACCAAAGACTCATTGACAGTTTCTTTCAGCATAGAAACAGCAGATAGAAGAACAACCATGTTATCTATCCTGTTGATGCAGTCTACCAGTCTGTGTCTTTTAACTGGAGAATTAAGGCCTTTAACTGAGAGATATTAGAGAAATGCGATGATTACTTACTCTCATTATCCTCTTTTTCTGTTGGTGATTCTTTTGTTTTTCTTTTCCTGTCATTTCTTGTTGCTGTTTATACACTGGCTTTACTTGAAGTTTTTGTTTCCTCTGTGGTTTTTTTTTTCTGTGTTGCTTTCATTGCTCCTGTCGAAGATATTCTTGAGTGCTGATTTTGAACTCCTATATCTTTTACACTGGTCATTTTCATGGGAATACCTTATTTCTCCATCTATTTAAAGGACAGTTATGATGAATACATTTGTCTGGGTTGGATATTATTTGCTTTTAGGTCATGAAATACTGTACAGGAAGCTCTTCCAGCCTTGAGGATTTGTGCTGAGAAGTCTGCTATGATTTGAACTGGTTTACTTTTATATGTGATGTTTGTCTTTTTCTCACTGATTTAAAAAATCTAGTTTTTATTCTTTTTTATTTTAAAGAGAAAAGAATAAAACAAACACAATATTGCAAAATTTGGAAATAAGCAATAGTGGCCTTTGGGTCTATCCCAGGACCCTAAAACCTCCCTTTGTTAGGAAGGTCTGTCCCTATGCTGAAACATTGTTTCCTTTGCAGCTTGTTTACCCTAACATACAATTCTTTGGTAATGAAATGTAGTAATGTTTATGACCCCTTAACTATGTTGATATATACAGAACATAAATTGATTATAACAATGTTATCTTTGCTAAATTGTTACACTCAGCTATAAAAGGGCTATCAAGCTGAAAATGGACAAACACAAAGTCTAACAACTACCACTGAACCACTTTAAGTCCAGGAACAGTAACTATATTTATAGAACAAACTCTAAGACAAACCAGGTACTTATATACAGTGAATATTTACTCAATAGGGGAATTTTGCTTCCTTTCAAAATAGAACACCATTCAAATGTAGTAAGGTATAGTTAACTAACTACAGATTTGTAAAGGTAAATTGTGCCACTATCATAGCATGAAGACAAAAAAAAATAAGGTATGAAAGATCAATGGAAGAATGGAAGGAAGGTGGTAGGACTCATGTAATAGTTCTCATTAAGGATTAAAGGAAAATTAGTAAGATTAGATAAGAATAAAGAAAAAATCAACTAGACTAAAGTTGATTATTTATAATACATATAAGGCAATTGTTGTTAAACTCGAGTAAAAGAGAATAAGAAGAAATACGAAACAGGTTGGAAGCATGAGCAAAAAAGAGAAACAGAAAAAAGGGGGACCAACTGAAATGAATAAAACAAAGCTATATTTTTTAAAAGGTGAATGAGCAAATGAGTAATACAACCCCAAACTCCACCGATATGATAATAATGATGACAGCAATAATAATAATAACAATAAAAATAACATACCAATATAGGAGAAGAGAATATGGATTAAAAGAAGGGAGAAATGGGGAAAAATGTAAAAAGACTTTTAAAAATCTCTACTTCCAGAGAGTGTTTTCTTCTAGAGCCTGCAGTCTATTCTTACAAGACATATTGTTTTCTTGCTCTCTTTACAGACTCTGTGTTTTTCTAGAGATTAACGGGGTCAGTGAGTCCTCATCGTAAAGTGTCCAAGCTGTCACACCACTACTGGAAAGGTATGCAGCATTGTATCCTGAGGCTCCCGTGTGGATTCCTGCGGGCTGGGAGGAGCACCAGAGGAGACGCAGGTGTTCCTGGGATTGACACGGGGAGATTCCACCAGGACAATAAGGGTGTAGGGTGCTGTGTGATGTCCCACAAGTGTCCAGAGCACCAGGAAAATCAGGCAAACTCTTAACCTTCATTGCTACCCAGGCAGAGCTCTGGCCTATTGTGCCAGTCAGTGACTTTGCCAAGGACTCTGGTGAAATGCACGGAGGAGACTCCACTGCGCCCAGAGTGGGGTGAGTATACCTGGGGCCGAACAGACACTGTCATGGTCCAGATGCACCACACGGTGACTTGTGTGGGATTGGAACTCCCCATGGAGACCCAGGCTTTGATTGATCAACCTTGCATTCTTACATCTGGTGGACTGAGCAACTTCATTGAAGATAACAGTATGTAATGTAGAAGCCATTGTTAATTACTATCATTTTGTTTTGAGGTCACGTATCATTGTTGTTTCTGAGTTGTTTTTGTCTTCATTGTTATTTTGTTAGTTATTTTTTCTCTTTAAATTAAAAAAGAGAGATATTAAGTGCAGCAACTTTTAAACTTAAACTGGAGTGGGACCTTTAAACATTCAAAGGATCACATCTTGTTTACAAACTTCTGAGAAGAAGGAATTCAAATTAGGAGTGGTTATGTATGATAAGAAATATATTTAAATAGACAAAAAGAATGCATAGTTATTACACTTGACACTGGAGAAACATTTCATGTACTTTCTGTAGAAAAATAGGAAGATTTGTTAAACTGTTGAGGTACAAACATCCAGAAAATAAATAGGCAATTATAATATCCTTTATTACTTTTGAATATATAACATATCTGTTTTCATTACTTGTCTGTACTCATGTGTAGTACCATGAAAACCTTTGCCTTTATGTAGTAGTAGGAATTAACTTCAATTTGGATTAAACTCTTTCCCTTAAAAAGGGATATTTTGACACATTTTAACAGGTGTCATTGTTTTTTTCCTTTTAAAGAATCACAAATAACCTCCTGGAATGCATTTTATTTGAATAGATGATGTTTCTGAAAATGCACAGTAAATCATTCAATCTTTCTTTCCCAGAGGTATGATGATATACACAGGTCAACACTGAAATACACAGCAAATCATTCATAGCACAGTAAATGATTCAAATCATTTTTTTCCCAGAGGTATGATAATGTACACAGGTCAACACTAAAACAGCGTTCTGTGAGGAATTTTAATACTAGAGTTGTACATTTGTAAATATTTAACCAGGGGAAAATACAAAGCTCTAATAAGAGGTCAAAGGTCTCTTAAAATCTGTTTAGCCACACTTTGATCCACATTTGAATAGTGTGCTTTCTGTGTTTAGGACACAAACAGCTCTATTTTTTTTCCTTTCTTGCAAGATTTTTGTTTATCTTCACAGACTTTCTATAAGTAACAAGAAATGTTTTATGACAAGGAAAGTAATGGTTGCCACACAGTCAAGGAGTGGTACCAGAACAAGATGAGGTTGTGAGCAAGTGGCTGGAGATGCTTGGCTCCTTTGAGACTTCTGGAAAATTCACTTCAGAAGCCTGCTGAAACCAAGGGGTTGATGAACTGATAAAATTGGTGATTGAAAAATGCACACAATTATCTGTAGAGATGAAGAAAAATATAAAAGGACATAAATTTATTGAATAGACTAGAAAAGTTCAGATGTTTTTTTTTTTTTTTTTTCCTGGTACCAGGAATGGAACTCATGACCTTGCACTTGCCAGGGAGGTGCTGTGCCACTGAGCTAAATCCCCAGCCCCTGCTAAATCCCTAGCCCCCAGATTGTTGTTTGCTGATGATATTTAGTCCACAATAAAAGAAGAAAAGTGGATAATTTTCTTCAAGGATCTGTATTGAAATCATAACATGTAAGACAGAATTTCCAAAACACAAAAATGTTGCATAAATGAAAACAAAAGTTAGGACACAAATATTTCTGATGTGGAGATTGGAAGTAGTTAATTCCCAGTGGAAACTTTATCTTTGTGATACTGGTGTGCTGCTATTGTTCTAGTTTTTGTTTGTCTGTGTCTCATTTACTACTCTCTTTAAAATAAAAAAAGAACAAATAACAAAAATTAAATAGTGAATCTTTGGAGAGCAAAGAGCTTGAGTCACTAGTAAGCAATTGTTAATGGATCTGTAGTAAAGATTTAGAACTGCATCACAATTTTTTTTTTATTTTAAAAATAAAAGGTGGAAAACATTAACAGACAACCTTTTACAAAATAGCAAAAGAATAGTACAGACAATACAGAGTTACAAAAAAGTGGTAGGAAATTAACAATGCTTGTTGTGTTACATATTGATATCTTCAAAGGGGTTTCCCATGAAAACAGAGAGAGACATGCAATATTGATCAATCATGGACTCGTTGACAGCTTCTTTCAGCAAAGAAATAGAAGACAGTAGAACAACTCTGTTAACTATTCTGTATATACATACATACAAAATTTCTCCTTCTTTCCCCTTTCTTTTCCCACATCCCAGTTGCCCTTTACCCTTCACGGTTTTCCTATCATTTCACAATGTCTGTCATACCTTCTACTTTAAATTAACTCTTTCAGGGTTTACACTAGTGAAACAATGCAGTGCTTGCACATGCATGTATGATTTATTTCACTTATGAGTATGTTCTCCAGTTGTGACCATTTACCTATAAAGCCCTCAAGTTTATCATCCTTTATAGCTGTGTAATATTCCATTATATAAAAGTACCAACATTTTTTTTATCCAGTCCTCAGTGGAGGGACATTTGGGTTGCTTCCACAATTTAGCAATTGCAAATTGTGCTGCTATGAACATAGGTGCCCATTTATTGCTGTGATACGATGTT